TTTTTTTTTTATTAATTTGCGCAGTTCAATGTTATGTATTCATTGAACAGTTCCTAATGGAAGCAACGTTAATAAGTATATGCGGATACATATACCTAAACTTGATACTCTCGAGTGACAATTTGACTAGTAAACTTTATAAGGTTATGTACAATTTACATTTAAAATGTAAGTGGTATATGAAACTACATTCCATTATTTTAGAGAAGTTCATCTTTAATAAGCACTAGTTTTCCTATAATCTTAATTGTAAGTGAACAAGTAACAATTTATTATCAGTAACAATACAGTGTATATTTACTGCAACATAAAGTGTCAGTATGTAACAAAAATTTCATTCATTTGATTTGTTAAGTAGAGTACCTTTCTGCTACGGTAAAATATTATACATTCTACGATTTAAAACACTGAATTCGAATTGGTTTAAAGCTCATACATAACTGCGTTAATGTACACACATTAACTTTTGCGTGTGATGTACTTTGGTTGTATGTTTACTAAAAGCCTTGTAATTGTTTTTTTTCTTTTTGTTTTTTAACAAAACTATAGAATGTTTTTGGAAAGTTGTAACTAAAAGTATTCAAAATATTTAACAGAGAAGAATACAAGTAATAATAATTGTAAGTATGTACAGATTGTTTGACATGAAGCAGCAGATTGAGAGGAATCTTCTTGTTTACCAAGTTGTGATACACATAAATCTTCACAGTCTTCTTCCTTGCATAAATCACAAAGTGTCGCTTTCCGTGGTTCATAAAATACTCTTGCTTTTCTTGCTAAACATAAGAAAATGAAAAATACCTAAGAAACTGAGGTACAATTTTTTCTAGATCTTTCAATAAATAATAATGTTGTTATATACATTATAAATTCAAGACCGTTGACTTATTAAACAACTTACAGGAATCATAATAGTCGTATATAGTAACTGGTACTGGCTTTTGTTTTGCAACTTTGTGTGTTCTGAATGCAGATACTGTTGGACAATATTCACGTCTGTCCATCTGTAATGTATTGTTTACTACAAATATAATTTCAAATTCTATGAAATGTTTGAAATATAATACACTTCTCATACCTTATCAAAATATAGTATTACAACCGTGTCTCCGTCTTTAGTTTCTACTCGTTTTACGTTTTGCGAAACCTCAAGACTAGGTAACGAATCTCTGTCTGCAGTAAAACCAGATGGTAGACTAACTTCCATCACAACCATGTTACTCTCATTGGCTTCTTTTGTTGGCACAAAACTATTTAAATCCACATTATATGTGTTACTGCGATTCCAGGTGATATAAAGTATATTTGTATTATTACATACCCAGAACAAATTGAAAGTTGCAAATGATTTGCATTGGAATTTTTATCAACTTGAGGGTCCAAAGTAAAGAGTGGCCAAGCTCCGGTTACATTTAAATTATACTGAAATGAAATTTGGACCAAAGCAAATCCACTACCAGTGCCTGTTACATTAACTGACCGTGTTTTCCTGGGAAGCTGAAAAGTATGTCATATCTATTCGACGTACATTTAAATTGTAACACACACACACACACACACACACACACACACACACACACACACACACACACACACATTTTAAACTTACTCCATGTTTTTGAAGTATCATAGAATTATCAGAATTTATATTCATCTGACTTTGTCCACCTCCCTCATACATAAATGTTATTGAAATAGCATTACTCTTTGATGCTAGTTTTTCACCTAGTTTTGCCAATGCTTGTATTCCGATCACAGTATCCTAAAGATTTGTTTGTAAACATTAAATTTTGCATATTGCACCTGTCCCATATATGCAATTCATATACTTTGTATACTATATTCATACACTTCTAACATTTACCTGTGTAGATGCAAAACCACCTTCGGCATTCCTTTGTTTTATAAGCCATTTCATTAGAGCTATGGAATCAGTGACTAGATTATGTTTGAGATAAGTTAATAAAGCATACGATGTCATTTCTACGTCAACAGATCTTGGTAAAGAATACCATGGATTTTTATCGTCCTTAGGTACAGGTTTACTCCACCATTTAAGGTCTCCTTTTCCCATAGCTTTGGATTCCAATAAAGTAAATGCAGCATTTTCGTATGGGTGCTTTGCCAAATTTAAGGCATACGTGCAAATACTCAAGGCATAAATATCATCTAGATCATTCATATTACGGACAATATAATCAATTCCTTTGTTTATTGTGTTGCGATATTTTCCATTGTAATCCTAACATTTCATTAGAATAGAATAAATATTCAATCTATAAGTTTTATAGTCTCAAGTGAATTAAGAAACTTACATCGTTTTCGAGGAAAGTTATAAGAGTGAATGCTGTCAATGCAAGACCTTTTGCAGCCCCACCTTGCATGTCACGATGACTAACCTTCCCTATTTCAGGAAAACTTCCATTTGGAGCTTGATTGTTTGATAGCCATTGTAGAGCTTCGTCTATTATTCTATCTTCAACCAGAATATATTTCATAGCTTGCTTGAAAGCCTTTGCTACGAAAGCTGTAAGCCTAATAAAATATGAATTTACAATGGAGTAACAGGTATTATACTGCATTTATGAGTTTTTTTTATGATTCATCATTTTTATTATGTATACCATGTACTTCCATTGGCATCAGACTTGCCAAATGCGCTAAATGATCCATCGTCATGTCTGTACGTCAATTCTCTTTGATAACCTATTTCCATATATTTTAAAGCTTTACCTTCTACAGCTTGTGTCAACTGATTTGTATTCTGCGAATGCAAATTTATATATATACATGTATTTTTGTTTTTTAATACGCTGCACTGAAAGAGATTCGTTGCATACTTACATTGAGATAATTTAATATCATTATATTTGGAACAAAATTTAACATGTTTTGTTCTCCACAACCAAAAGGCATTTTAATTAAATTTGCTAAATTTAAAATACTAGGGCCCAAAATATCACCTAATAACACAATTGGTTAATGGTTGAAAGAGTTTTCGTTCACAATGAAAAATTATTTTAATAGAATTAAATTGAATGACATTACCTACTGCAGAGATTTCGATATGTTCAGAACCGGGTACAGCATTTTTGGGTATGTCTATTTTGAAATATGTTGTTGTACTATGTGAGTTTTTAAGATCTAAGAAAGCAGCTTTATTAAAGAACTGTGTTTCTCCTTCAGCCTGTAGATATTAATAATTAATCTTATTATATTATATTAAAATAATAATTAATCTTATGTCCAACTAATATCACCTTATGAATAAAGAATGTATACATATATAAAATATCTTACTTTTACAAGTAGTTTACGTTCGATACTGTCACCAGCTAATATGCTATTTGCGGTTGCTTTAATAGTAATGTAGCCTAAATCTCTTGGAATGATCATAAATGATACACTAGAACCAGAATTAGCTTTTACTTCCACTTTCTTTTTCCGATATAATTCTAATTCTGAAATATGTAATCAGTATTTATATTGATTCTGTAATACATGCATATATACCATACGAAATACTATAACTTATGATATTTGTTAAATTAAATCTTACTTGGTACATCATGTACATCATTAGATATTTCGGCAAAGTCAAATTGACCTTCATGCGTTAGTAAAACTTCTGCGTCTACGGACTTGTTCATATAGTTGAAAACCACAATTTGTATTGCAACAATTTCTCCTCGGATTACGGAATAAGGGAGATCCATAGCAATAAAGAACGGTCTAAAAACTTTTAACTAAAACGAGGAACCATTATTTTTCTTATTACTTTGTCACAATATGTAAAATTTCGTATTATTTGTATTGTTCATCTATTACATTTACCTTTCGTGGCTCTTCTATGAGACCCAGCCCGTCAACATCGTTCAAAGAAAATGCCGTCAATACCCACGATGTAATTGAATCGGGCACATTCCTTTTCAGTTCGTTCTTCCCATCGTATCTGTTTTCAATTTACATAATTATTCTTTGTTTCGAGAAATTCTTTTTCATTTGAAAGCATTACAATGTGTGGTAAGTGTATAATTTGACCGATGTCTCATAATCTTACGAAGATTCAATCACCTTATTAAAAACTGAGCAATTTACTTCGTAAAATATGGAAGAATGAATGATTGAAAGTACAATATTAATCAAGTAAATGTATAGCAGTCATATATGAACACCGAGAACATATCCCATAGGCATTGATTTACAAAGAAATGTTCTGTACAAAACAAAGCGACATTACACGGACGTTGTTCGTCTAAGTATGTACGTATACAAAGCATGTATATATAAAGCTTTGTAAATTGACAGTATTTATAACATAAATACCCTGAAGAGAAGTTTGTAAAAAGCCAGGTGTTTAAGATGTCATGCATTAGGAATACACGGGGCTTATTCCAGACAGGAGGTGGGATGCGAGAGAAGGCATAAGGACCTGCCAATGGTGGTCTTGTTGCTAGTTTGTGCGTAACGGGCGGACCAATGTCTGGCCGAAGTGTAGATGCACCATGAGGCGAGCCTGTTATTCTACCTTCCAATATTCCCGGTTGTCCTGGAATCCAATTCTCTATATTGTATTATATCAGCTGAACCAAGGGAAAATAAAAGTATAATGCTACCACAAAAATAAATGTCTTATTATATTCTGTGTTTAGAACATATTTACAAAAGAAACTTGTTTAGTAACTTGTATGTATCTTGAAATATGGGAAAAATGAGATGTTATCAGCAGAATAAATTGCAGAATGAAACAATGTGTTATAATTAAACCATCACCTTAGAGAGTCAATTACTTTGTTAAATACTTTTCCCCATTTATATGCATAGTTAGTTGTAGTTAAGTATTTACTAATATAATCGAGTGATTTTTCAGTTTGTTAATATGTAATGTTAATGTGATTTTTCAATTTACTTAATAAGTTACAAATTGATAAGTATTATCAGCAGGTAATAATTTCAATGGCTTTACCCAATATTAAGCATTTGCCAAAGCCAAGTTTCAGGAAAATTCTTGCGTACTTTCATCTTCTCTGACGATTTGAATGCAATTGAATCCGATTTGAATGCAATTGAACCTTCAAATGCGGCTGGATAGGAGAGCGCTATACCAGATCTGTAGTATACTACACAGACATAAGCCATGTTAAATGATAAATACGTTTTCTGATTAACTAAATTGTTTCGATTGTAAGTATTATATGAAATGCTGAACTTGAGGATATTACTCTCATGCTACATTACGAAGAAGTAAAACATTTTAACCAATTTGTTACCAAATTAGAAAAATATTTGGGATCACTTATAATAAGGTGGGTAAAGTAATATTAGTTACCAATTTTATAAAACCATGTAGAAATTTGCTCAAATTTACTTACGAATTGGAAAATTTTCATGAACATATCCATTTGTCATAATAATAGCACCGCTTTCCTAAATGAGAAAGAAAATATTTTAATTCATAAGTAGATCTTTATGTAATACGATTACGTACAATTGGATCTACATACGCTAAAAACATCATTCGCTGTAGCTGATCCACGACTCCAAAGGTATCGGTCAAAAACTGAGTCCATATATGGTGAATCTCTTACCATATCGTATGATTTTAACTCTTTATATACTTGTTCCTGCAAATGATTGTGAAATATGTTATCATTACTTGAAATTATAACACATTTGGAATTAACTATGCTACTAGAAAATTACATACACGTGAAATATCATTGCCAGATTTTAATAAAATCGATCTCTGGTCCACACCTAATAAACCAACATATGAATTTGGTTTTGAAGTGATGACTAAATTAACATTTTCTCCTGGTCCAACTTCGCCGGGTGCGATATTAATATCAACCTTAAATAAAGAAAAACAAAAGAAAACAAATACTAAAAGTTCCTATCTATAATTAAAAAATTTTCATTAATTTTAAAATTAACTTACAAAGTTTTGAAGTACTCCTTCCAAGTCTACATCTAAAGCGTCTGCGATCACTTCTCCATCGTTTCCTACATAATATACAATTATATGTGCAGTAGGCGCCATAACATATGTTGCCAAAAATCTAAAAGATATTAGTAGTTTATATATTTTAAATGATTAGCGATTACGCTAAATTCAATATTAATAAACACTTACTTAAAAGTTGTTGTATACTTATTTTGTACATATATAGAACCAGCATCTAGTATATCACCGCGTCCGAATATTTCATAATTAATATATTTTAATGGAATTGTAGAGTTTACTTCAATTTCAATGTCATGACCAACCTAGAAATAAAGTATTATAATTAATATTAATCAAATATTAATCATACAACTATACAAACCATGGGGATTTCAGTTTTCAAAATAGCTTGTAGATATTCGTTGTTCTGAGACATTGCTTGATTTGTTGATGGAAACCATTCGTGTAAATTTAGATATTGTGCCTGTTAAATAAACATTTGGCTTGAGTGTTCACTACTAGGTATGAATTAATTATTATTCATTTTACATAGATCTTGTAATATTTTACCTCGATATTTAAAGGTAATGAAATGTTATCATTAGTTTTTGATGGGTAGAAGTCCAGTTGTACCATACCATTTTTATCTAACATTTTATTAATAATGGTATATGCAGATTGATTATAAGTATATCCATACATTATCGTGACAGGATTTTTATTATCTTGAACTGGTGTCCCATCGTGATATGTCAGTTTTACCTGTAAGTCTTGTTTGTTAAAAGGCGATCGCACATACAAGATTATATAATAAAAATAATCTTATGTACATACAAATGCTGTATATTTTAAACCAGGTTTATAATATTCTGATGTTTTTATCAATTCCATTTTGTATTTATGCTTGTGCAGTGTTACTTGCATAGATGTATTTTGTCTTCTACCAGTTAAAGATTCTTCTACCGCAACATCAATCATAACTGGTCTTTCATAGTCATCGGATAATCTGTAAAGAATATACCGGATAAGAAAATTTCAGAAAATTACAGGAAAAAATACTTTTCATTTTACATACCTAAGTTCAGATTCGATATCAAAATCAACTACCGCCTTTCCATCGATAGGTATCACTTTTCGTACAGGCTGTTGATAAATTGGTTGAATAACGCTAGAGAAAATATCAGGATAAACTGTAATTGTTGCTTCACCCTTTACCGGCTTGCCATAAGTATACCTGTATAATTCACACTTTAAAATGAAGTTTTAAGCATTAAATAACATCAAAGTTTTATTGTTACGCAATAGTAGATGCAACAAATTTTACAAATAATGTGTATTGTGTTCTTAAAGAAATCTTAAAACAATGTTAAACTTTCCTTACTTTGCGTAAACTGTAGCAATAATTTTTGTGTCTTTAAATGTAAAATGTTTGGAAGCAACTATGCTGACTTCAAAATTGGGGAGAATATATTCTGCAACTTCGAACTCTTTCTCAAATATTTGATCACCGATGTTAGCAGTGATTTTCCAAGTACCTAATACAGGTGACTCGGATAATTCGACTTCACCATTAAATATTCCATGTGTCACAGATGGACGTTTCCATTGCTTAATTCTGTTACTTTTTCCATCCTATATACAATTTATACATAATATGTAATATGGTTTTATGATATATTTATTTTGGTATGTAAAAAGGTTATATACTAAAATTATTTACTGTAATGAAAATATCTATTAATCTAGCAAGAGTAGGCCTGAGTCTTGAATTTAATAGAATGCATCTGAACATGACTTTATTCCCTGGTTTGTAGATTGCTCTGTCGGTTTGAATGAAAACTGAATAACTCTTGTGAACATATTCAACAGGTTTTGAATCGGAGAACTCAATTCCTGATAGACCACGTGCAACCAGTTGATACTTTCCAGGTATAACATCTCCGATCTAAGATATTTAATAAATAAATCAGTTACAATTACATTCTTGTATGGAAAAAATAATCAAGTAAATATACCTCAAGCCTTAAAATTCTTGTAGAATATGGCTGCACTGGTACAACTTGGGATATATTATATATATCCCCATTGTCTAGCTGACCATTTAATTCAACGTATATCGTTGATGTTGTTGAGATACCAATTGTGCTTAATGCTACATGATATTCAGAATCAGGTCGGACCACTTTTGGCGCAATTATACTATAATATCTGTAGAAGTGTTAAAATAATATTTTCTCGATAAACTTAAATGTGACTGTATATAGCGTTTACAATTTTAACACTAGAAACATAGAACAATCAAAGAGATTAGATCTATAGTATAAATAAATTTATTTAAAAATTTCCACAAAAGCACTTCTATACTTTCAATCATTGTAAAAGAACATAAATCTGTGTAGTGTGAAACATTTCAAACTTTCTGATAATTCTAGTGTCGAACAGTGAATCATTAAAATGAAACATGTATAAATCTATATACATATACATACGATTCTGCTTGTATTTTTGCAGGCATGTAAACCAGGAAAAGAATGTAAAGCCAATGCGAATACATTTTTGTTTAGTCTGAAAAATTATATTCATTTAATTGAGTTAAATTAATTAATTAATTGATTGATTACATGTACATAAATTATCTGACACCCAACTATTTTCCACAGTACATACATTTAATTGCACTAAAACAATAGAAAATCTATGATGTAAGAGTCGCGCGTAATCATTTCCTTGAACAAAATTATCTTCATAATCTTAAATTATCAAACTGGTTTTTCTATAGACGTGCATGAATTTCCTAGGAAAACATATTACTTGTCATTGCGATGTTACAAATGAAAAAGTGGGAAGTCCCAAACCTACACTAATGACGTAATCGGCAATTGTCATATGCACTTTAAAACTTGAGGTTTTCCCGTACATATACATATTCTAGCAAACATAATAGTGCAAAAGAAAATTATAATTTTTTAACAAAAGAATTATTTTCTTTAATAAAACTTAAATCTGAACGTTACTTATGCAATAAAACGAAAGAGTAAAAACAATTTTAGCAAATACTACAATCAACGATATCTTCTTGTTAATTAGAAAGTAGTACAACAGAATCTTACATCCTGCAAGTCCCCTCAAAACCCGATTTACTATTATCAATCGTGCTGATTCTCTCATTTAAAAGTTTATAGGCATAATACCAAACCATAATAAATGATGAATAATGGATTTTTTAATACGTTAAGTTCTTTTATCGTAACAAATTTTATTAAATAAATAATAAATTAATAAATTTGCAATTTAAATTTTATTCACTGTGTAAGATCGCATCTTACTTTAAAAAGCGATGACGAAAGAGTGACTTACCTAATTGAATCTGTTTATACTTTCTTAACTTCGCAGGTTGCATGCAACCGCAAGTTTTGTTTTACTTGCGCAAATCTCAGACAGCAATGTAGGAACGGTATTACAACGTTTCTAAACTAACAATCGAGCGAGCACTAACAGCGAGCACTACCGATCATGGCTTTAAGAAATTGAATAGTAGGTTTCCCTTCCTCCAGCCCGTTTTGCTTCCACTATATCTGTCACGCTTTTACCGTTATAGAAGTAACAAGCCAGTGGGGTACCATAAACATATTCTGCAGTTTGTCTGTACGAATTTCATTTCACAGTATTTGAAATAAAATTCGTACAGACTTTAAAATTAAATTCTATTAAAATCATTCAATACTTGTATTTGTTAAATATTATTGTAAATTGCACATCCTTTCGAAAATTATACTACACAC